CTCCCGCACGTTCAAGTGTAGTTGCAAATGAAAAAAGGAAAAAAAAGACAGTTTCTAAGGCTTTCTGACCTCCAGTAGCAATGCATCGACTGAGGCAACAGGACTACACAGGTGAGCCGACCCCCCCCCCCCCCCCCCCAAATCCCCCCTTTCACGTTTTTGCTTTTTGCCCTGCATTTTCTTTGCACTACAGGTACTCTTGTCCATATAAAATGCACTCACCTTCTACCAATCACAAATCGAATAATAACCCCCTTCTCCTCCTCCAATCGCTTCAACTCCGCTGCAGAAAGGGGATAACAACAAAGATCAAGAAACCCTCGTAAGTGACATTTCCTGAAGACACAGCACAACACAGATGGCCACTTCAGAAATCAAACCTACACGGGCTTCATTCAGCTATACGGTGATACCTACCATAGGAGCTGTGATCAGTGCAGCCTGCTGAGAAGCATAAGCGTCCCGTTTATGCACCGGGATGCTTTGGCATGCACTGTTAACAGCCTTGGCAAATCTTCATCACAGAGTGGTCCAGACAAAAGAAACCGCTTAGCACTAGCACGAGAGAATTCACGGAAGCCAAAACTGAATAATTGTTGCAACAGCTGGCTCCGTTGTAATCCTACAATCCTCATACAGAACTGAAAAAGCAAAAAAACGGTTTCGTAAACAAGCAAACTGTCAGCAACATACGTCAAGAAAATTCATCATTCAGTAAAAAAAAAGTCAAAAGAACATCCCCATGATTGTATGTCAATAATAGGCATTCGCTCCACAGGCAGCAGAAGCTCTGCTCCTGCAGATGCAGAAGCACTTATGATGAGTGAGCAGTTCTGATTTTGTGCACCCCCAAAAATGATTGTTACAGTTTTGGCTATGTAGCTGTGAATCGCACCGTCTCTGCTGGGAGTGGATGTGCAGAGCACATGGCTGGAATGTGCAAAGAAAATAGGAATTACTGAAGCAGCATTCCAGTGCCCAGCTCTTCATTCAAAACTGTCATTCCAGAAAAGTTTGCTGGCAGAAGTCTGCACCACTCTGCAAAAAAAAGACACAAATAAACTATGGTACGACAGAAAGACACTTCCTTGTATGATATCACAAGAAGAGCCAACGGGACTCTGCTCGTGTGAGGAACGGGTGTTCATGGAATTCAAATTAGTGTATATGAAACCTCCAATATAGGAACTACACAGCCAAGTAGGCAGAAGAGTCACAGACAGTATGACGGGGGGAAGAGGGGAACCACGGCAATGTAGCGAGCGGATAGCATAGAAAGACAAAACACATGGGGATAGGGTTAAGATCAGGGGAAAACCCGAAGGTAGAAAGCCTAGAACGACAAGGATAGGATGGTAGACGGACATAGATGACGTAGCTACAGAAGGCAGGGGAAACATACAGGCTAGTGTTACATGCCCAGTTGGGCGATGTACATATATAGCCAAGGATCCGCAATGTGATGAAAAGGACTGAATGGACAATGCAGTGCTAGTGGCATCTCAACAAGCAGTGTACATCCTGATACATACAAAAATGGCACTTTGTAGCGCAGTGGAACACTTAGATATAATCCCTGACCTGACCGGGACTGACATCTCTCATGTAGTACAAGACAGCGCAGCGGAATGCTAGAATACCAATGACTAGCTCAATCAATGTCACAATGCAGACCAAACATACATCATCCTCATCACAAGGTGTGAAGGGGCCTGGTGCTACACACAGGAAGAATGCGCCAGGTCCAGACCATACACAGACGAAGAGGAGGGGGAAGATGGGAATGTCGTCAACACCAAGTCTTCAGTACAAGTCCCAGATAATCCCTCGTCAAATGTCTGAAGCCCAATGTCGAGTCTGGAGCCAAATGCCACCAATCCCGCTCTCTCGTAGTCTGCTGATGCAGTGAAGTCATGTAGCGAGAGGGTGAGGGGGAAGATGGTGGACTGAGAAGAGGAAAAAGGAGAACTCTCTCTCTCTCTCTCTCTCTCTCTCTCTCTCTCTCTCTCTCTCTCTCTCTCTCTCTCTCTCTCTCTCTCTC